AATATATGGAAGAGGGAAAATATGGGGGGGGGGTTTCAATTTTTTTCCTTCAAAAGGAGATGGGAATGAGAAAGAGGGAGGCAGGGAAGGAGGGAAGGAAGTTCCGCCTTAGCACTTGGTCACCAGCAGCCCTGCCATTGATTTTGCTTGTCAAAAGGTTGCAAAAGGAGATCACATGATCCTGGGACACTGTGACCATCATAAATATGAATCAGTTGCCAAGTATCCAAATATAAATCACATGACCCTGGGCATGCTGCAATGGACATAAGTGTGAAAAATGGTCATAAGTCATTTCAGTGCAATTGCAACTTTGAATAGGGTTTTTTTTTTTTGGTCAAGTTTTTGACACCTTGCAAGGTGGTACCCGAATATTGCCATATCCTAAAAGTGGTACAATCAATGAAAAGGTTGAAAAGCCCTGGTCTAGTCTGCAGCTCTTCCTCCTGTCTCCCAAGATCATTTGCACATACCATTATACAACTTCAGGTAATGCTGTTTTCTGTCACAAGTCTTTCTATCACTGTAAAACCTCTCTGACTGTCCTCATTTCCCAATCTAAAAGACCAAACGGGAGAAATTTCTTCTTGTTTTCTTCCCTTGGAATGTCTCTCAAATATAGCAAGACAGGAAGGGTTCAGACGTCTGGAAAAAGGATTGTACATCGAAAGAGTTACACGTGCCCTGAATAATTTAATTATAAGCTGCCTTGAAGGTGTTTTTTTTTTGTTTTAAAAAAAGAAAAACGGGATACAAATATTTTAAACAAATAAATGAATTGTGAGGCCTTTATATTGATGAGAGTTTCTCCAAATGTCTCTTCTTATTTGAAAGCAATTTGCTTTTGTCAAATTGTAGATCAATTAAAAACGCTGAAAATTTTTCAAAATGGCACTGGTGCAACTTCTGCATAAGCTTCCTCATAATGAAATACTCAAAGAGACATTGAAGCCGCTTGTGGTATCACTCTGTTTCTCCAAACTAGAGCCTACTGGTCATAGTGGTGTATTACAGACATAATTCTCAACTGATTGTACTGGGGTGAGAATTATAGTCCATCATATCAGGAGAGTATCAAATTACAACAGTTTGCTTTTGTGTTTGCAGCATGCCCAGGAAGAATATATTCGATTAAAAAAATGGAGATAATTCTATATTATTTTCTACTTCATGCAGAAAAAAGAAATGCTTGGATCTCTTCCTTTAAATGTGCATGAAATGCTCAGAGGTCTCACAATCTAGAAAAGCCCTTCTAATTTCCAAGCAGTTTAGGACCATGTTCTCTTAGAAATGCTGCTGGCAAGCAAAATTGACTTTCTATGCATAACCTTGACATCACAGATCCTTGGAAACAAACTCATCCATTTTCCCCTCCTGAAAAAAAACCCCACACAAATCTCTGCACTTTTGCAAAGTTGTATATTTTCTTGTTTCCTGAAGCCCCAGGGTTTTGAATTAATTGTACACAGTTTCTCATAAAGCTGGCAAGTTATAGGAGAGATCCTTTGGAAATATCACACAAAGCAGCAGTGCTTAATTCTTATGCATTGTGGTACTCCAGGGAAAGCAATATCATAAATTGTTGTTTTGCTAAATTGCCTTCAAATTAAAGGCTTCCACAGTATAGTAACTTAACTCATGAGGATAGCTTTGGAGATCTATGTCAATATCCTGTTTAACTAAGTATTCTGAGTCCAAAGGGGCCATATCTGGATTCTTCTGGATTTTTCAGCACTGAAGCTCCCATACTATTTCCTCTTCCTTAGTTATTGTCTTGAAATGCTCCTGGAGTATATATGTCTCACTGGCTTGTGTAATAAAAATGGAAGTTGGACATAAATACCACTTGAGGCTCTCCACTAAGTTTATGAACAGGGAAATTAGCTGAACGATTTCTCCAATATTCTCTAGAAGGGTTGGATTTTCCCTTTATCAAGCCCATAACAAGATGCAATTCTTCCAGTAATTCCAATAATTTCCCACAACATTTACCATGAAATAAGAGGTCATTATAGTCACAAAAGTTAATCTTTCCCAGGCTGCAGGTTGCAGATGTGTTGGTGTAGGAGATGACCAGGCTGAGCCAGAGAGAGGGGTCAAAAGCATCATTAGTCATGAATCCCTTCACGCCCACAAGAGATCTAAGTCCAGCCTACCTTGAATTTCTTTTATCCTTATCAACCACCAATTTCCTTTGGCTGTTAGTAGTTCAGATTCTTGTAGAGAGCTTAAGCTTGCAATAAATGTTTATACTCATTTGAACTGCCTGGATCTCCTGATTTCCCTGGTGCTTGACAGTTGGGTCACAATTCTGTCCATCCACATTGTCCAAGAGGAAGACTCTACCTCCTCAGTGACAATAGCAATAGCAAAACAAAAACTGTCCTCTGAAATTTTTCACCCAATATATGGGCAGAGAAATTTTTTCTTTAAATTTCTCCAAATAATTTTTCATCAACTTATCAAAGTCATAACTCACTTTTTAATAATCATATTTAGCATTATTATATGGGAAAAATACTATACTGTTTTTATTTTTTGTTTTGCTGGAACTTAATGGAAGTGTGGGAGACAAGGTCAACCTGGGGAAGTAGTCCAGATAGAAGCACACTCAGAAATATTAACTCTGTCCTTATTGTATGTAGGATTACATTCACAGAATCTTTGAAGATTGAAATTACATCTGCCCCCCCCTCACCTATACAGTCCAGGAAACTAGGGAGAGTTCCTTATGATACATTTGCCAAGTCCCTATTTCTCTTGCCAGCTCAGGTGCCTTTTATCTGCCTACTTTGCAGTTCTTTCTCTTATCTCCCAAGGTCATTCTCACATACAGTTACAGTCATTGAGACGGATAAAGAGAGAATGATGCAATGAAAGACAAGAAAGTCACAGATGTCTGCCCTTCCTTGTAACTCAGAATTTCTCCTCTCCTTTGGAATAATTAATTCTAAAGCAAACCCTCTGACCAAACAGGAGGACAACTGCAGGAAAAGGCAGAAGAATTTCTCTGCCCATTCATAATAGAAATCCATAAAGTAAAAAAAAGAAAAAAGTGCAGAAAACTAAATAGCAGCTGGGGTTTTTTCCCCAGTAAGATGTTTTCTCAGGTTTCAACATGCCTTGAAATGTATATTATGAGAAGCAGAATGTCATTACTGTGACACTAATATAATTACCTAGCTCATAAGAATTCTGTCTACAGACAGTTGCTAATTGGCATGTTTATTTTTAAAATAAATTTCTAGCTGCAAACAACTAAAGCATAAATCTCATTTTTGGATTGCTTGATCAACTGCTTTCCCTTGTGGAGTATCTATCACAATTTATTATATTTATATTCTAATATACAGTCATAGGAAGGTATTTCTCACATACATTTCACACTCAACAATTCTGCATGGTGGGTTGATATTACAGGATTGGGAAAAGTAAGCTGGTATGTCCACATTTCCTCTTTTCCCTCTTTTCCAATTGTAAGTGACCCAGAGTCATGTGACAAAGATGGGCAGCACATATATCTAATAAATAAGTAAATAAAAGTTCTACAGTGAAGTACAATGTTGCTTCCTTAAACAATGTTTTCAGTCTGAGTAAGATATTGAGGATATTCCAACAATTTGCTTCTATTCTGAAAAGTAGCTACAGAACCTACATTTTTCTTCTTTTTATGAACCTTTAATCCCTTGTTTTGGGGTGGAGTCACGGCAACTGAGTGGAGCTGAGCATTTATTGGCCAGATACCATTCCTGATGCCTATGCAGAGTTCACAGTAGATATTTTTTTTTAATGCCTGGATAGAGAAACATCTGTCACTGCCTAGGATTGAACTTTCAACCTTCTGAGTAGGAGGCGAGTATCTTCACCTCTAGGCCATTGTGCCACTCCCACAGAGCCTACATTATCCACCAGATAATCATGCTGAGCACCTGACTGATTATGTGCTATCAGTTGGTGTTGACTCATAGATAGATTTTCTCTATGATGATATGTCCTTAACTTGGCCCTTCACTTCTTCCAAAAACACACCCCTTTTCACTGTAACTGAGTCCACAACTCTTACTGCTGATCTTCCCTTTCCTCCAAACTTTCCTAGCATTGGATTATTTCTGTGGAGATCCAGATCTTCACACAGTGTATTCAAAATATAATAATTTGTTGAGCCCTATCTGCATCTTTGGGGCCATCTTTTGCTAGTCACATCCTCCTGACCCATTAGAGCCAGGAGAAAAGGAATGTTGCAGGTCCCATCCCCTAAGGAGGCTCATCTGGCAGGACCCAGAAGAAGGGCCTTCTCCATTGTGGCTCCCTCCCTCTGGAATATCCCTTCTGAAATTAGACTGGCCCCCACTTTGATAGTCTTTTGGAAGGCCCTGAAGGCCCAGAAGGTTTTGCCAGTGGGCCTGGGGAATCCAGAGTGCGGTGGAGCCTATCAAATGGTTCATTTAATTGTGTGCTGTCACTGGGGGTATGTGTGTTATTTTTTATTTTTATTTTTTTCTTCATTGTGTTTTTATTATTTGTAAGCTGCCTAGAGTCATTGTGAGTGAATAGGCAGCTATATAAACTTTCTAAATAAATAAATAAATAAATGACCTGTGTGTGTTTTGCTTAGCTTCAGGAGCTTCAACACTTGAAGGCATTTTCCTCCCCGCCTTTGACTTCAAATGAGATCATGTTGGAACTGAATAAGAGTGTCACTTTCATAGTATTTTTTGAGGGGGGGAGGGAAATCTCTGTCGTTGCCTTCACCTGATTATTCTAGCCCCAAATGTATAGTATTCCAATATATGTTATTAAAATGAAGAGTAGTGAATTTTAATTAAAGTTTTCCTCTTTTGCTGATTTCATCATAAATGATCATACTACATGTTCCCCAAAGGGAAGTAGTATTAATTATCTTAACTTGGAAGTTTATTATTCTTTCTTCCTTCCCCAATCATTTCTTGTACCCTACTGCAGTCCTTTGTTTCGTCTCCAGCCACCATCATGTTACTCACCACCAGGGAATAGTAAATCTTGAATCCTGGTTTAGCCACAAAGAAGTCATCTGATTTGAAGGTGATCTTCAGCTGGTTTGTCTTTGATGTAATTTTGGGAGGAACTTCTTTATATCCACACCACCGTCCTCGGATGAGAGTGCTAATTTCGGAAATATCCTCCACTTCCACAAAATCATATCTGGAGTGAAGGTGAGAGATTAGCAATTTTGCAGAGAAATGTAATTTACAAAGTGATGCAAGGCAGCAGATGAGAGTGAACATTTGACATTTTAACGATCCTTTTATTTAAAAAAATAATGGGAAATCTGGGATTCTAGAAAGCCAAAATCAGCCTCTAGCAATAGCTCTTAGACTTATATACCACTCGATAATGCTTTATAGTTCTCTCTAAGCAGTTTACAGAATCAGCATATTGCTCCTAACAACCTGGCATCTCATTTTGCCAACCTTGGAAGGATGGAAGGATGAGTCAACTTTGAGTGGGTCAGGATCGAACTCCTGGCAATGGGCAGAGATAGCCTGCAATACTGTATTCTAATTACTGCACCACCATGATCCCTGAAGCTTCTAGCATCATCTTTAATGAGACATCATTCTCATCTTTTGTTCTGCAACATTTCCACGTTGGCACTGAAAATCACAGGGACATTTTTAGAAAATAAAAATAATGACTACAGCCCAACTTCAAAAGTCTGCTCAGTTCTCTGGGAAGTTGATGGTGGGATTTTCAGACAGTGTCAATAAGATACTTTTAAGATAGTCAAGAATGCCAGCAAGGACTGTGATATGGATGCTATTGTACATCTTGGCACTAACGATCTGTCCCAAAAAGATGTATTCTCTGTGCAGAATATTTCCAGTGCTTGGGGTAGGAACTTAGCAGGACACGTTGTAGGCTTGCTTTTTCAGAGGTTTTAACCAGTGTATAAGGAACAAAATGGAAAAGGCCAGCATATAGCAGAATTCAATATGTGACTAAAGGAGTGGTGTAAAGGGAAACACTTTGCTTATATTAGTCACAATGTCTGCAGCTGGTCCAATGAAAAAGTGTACAAAAGAAATGGTTTGCATCCATCAAGGAAAGGGACTGAGTTACTTGACAATAAATTCACAGATTTCCTGGAGAAATATTTAAACTGAACAATGGAGACAGTGAGTTAATTGATACAGAACATTCCTATCCTCGGCAATCTACAAATTATAGGGTTATCAGTGCATGTAATATAGAGGTGTGTGTGGACAAGAATATCAACCTAGCTGTCAAGCAAAATCAAGCTTTTAATAGTGAGTGCCACACCAAGTGCACTAATCAAACAGGTGGTAAGAAAATAGGGGAAATCAGGAACCACACAGGTTATGTAGAAAGTAAACGCAAGGTCAGTCATAAAGGACTCAAATGTCTATACACCAACAAACAGAGTATGAGCAGTAAACAGGGTGAACTAGAAATTCAGGTAAATGAGGGCAGATATGATATTGCTGCCATTATGGAAACTTGGTGGGATGAAACCCCAAAATGGAACACATAGCTAGAGGGATTTAAATTATTTAAAAGAAACAGACCAAATAAAAGAGGAGGTGGAGTTGCTCTCTATATAAGAAATAACTACATCTCTACAGAAATAGAGCACAACAATGATGAAAACTGTCTTGAATGCATTTGGGTCAATATAAAAAGGAAAAAAATGACATTGCATAGGTGTATACTATAGGCCACCCAACCAGAGGAAATAGATGAGCATTTTGCTAATCAATTAACTAAGGTATGTAGGAAGCACATCACAACAGTAATGGGAGACTTTAATTACCCTGACATCAACTGGGAGACAAACTCTGCATCAAGTGGAAGATCAAACAGATTCCTGATAAACCTAGCAGACAACTTTGTCTCCCAAAAAGTAGAGAAGGGAACAAGAGTATCAGCCATATTTAATTCTCACTAACAGCAATGAAATGATAGAAGGCATTGAACCCACAGGAACCTTCGGGGGGAATGGTCATTCAATATTGGAATTCAACATTTTGCAAGCACAAGCAATAGAACATACTCAAACTAGAATCTTGGACTTTAAGAAAGCTAATTTGAATAAACTTAGAGAGAGCTTGGGAAGGATTCAATGGATGAGAATCCTCAAGGGGAAAACAACTCAAGAAGCTTGGAAAATTTTGAAAAGTGAGATTATAAAAGCCCAGTCTAGCACAATACTAATGAAGAAGAAAAAATAACAGCTCTCAAAAGAAACCAGCATGGCTGCATAAAGAACTTTCTGATAAACTGAAAAACAAAAAGGACAAGCATAAAAAGTGAAAAGAGGGGCACATAACTAAGGCAGAATATCAGCAAATAGCCTGAGCCTGAAAAGATGAAGTGAGGAAAGCTAAGGCTCAAAATGAACTAAGGTTTGTGACAAAAGTAAAAAAATAACAAAAAAAGCTTTTTTCAACATGTAAAAAACAAGAAAAAAGTGAAGGAAATGATTGGTCCATTAGTGGGAGAATGTGGAAAGACGGTGATAAGCAACAGGAACCAAGCAGAACTAAACTCGTTTTTTGCATCTGTCTTTACACAAAGGGAAAAAACAGTCCAACCTATCAAAAACAGTATTGTAAAAAACAGATTAGAAACACAAGTCAAGATAGGCAAAAAAAAAAAAAAATGGTGAGTGAGCACCTGTCTACCCTAGACCAGTTCAAATCACCAGGACCAGATGGATTACACCCCAAGATTCTGAAGGAATTGGCAGATGTGATCTCAGAACCACTGAACTATATTTTTCAAAGATCCTGGAGCACTGGAGAACTCCCAGAGGACTGGAAAAGAGCTGATGTAGTTCCCATCTTCAAAAAAGGGGAAAAAATGGATCCAGGAAACTACGACCTATCAGCCTGACCTCAATACCTGGAAAGATTCTGGAAAAGATAATCAAGCAATGAATCAGTGAACACCTAGAGGCAAACAAAGTCATTACTGAAAGCCAACATGGGTTTATCAAAAACAGATCCTGCCAGGCAAATCTTATTGCATTCTTTGACCAAGTGACAAAATTAGTGGACCAGAGGAATGCTGTGCATATAATAAGGGATTTGATAAAGCAGACCACAACCTACTACTTGGTAACATAGAAAAATGTGGATTAGACAGCGTCGCCACCAGATGGATTTGTAGCTGGCTGACTGGCCATACTCGGCATGTAGTCCTTAATGGAATTGCATCTACATGGAGGGAAGTGTGCAGTGGGGTGCCCCGGGGCTCTGTTCTGGGCCCAGTGCTCTTCAACATCTTTATCAATGATTTGGATGAGGGGCTAGATGGGGAACACATTAAATTTGCAGACGACACCAAGCTGCCAAAAAAGTCAACACACTGCTAGGCTGCATTAAGAGAGGGATAGAATCAAGATCACGTGAAGTATTAATACCACTTTACGATGCCTTGGTAAGGCCACACTTGGAATACTGCATGCAGTTTTGGTCACAACGATGTGAAAAAGATGTTGAGACTCTAGAAAGAGTACAAAGAAGAGCAACAAAAATGATTAGGAGACTGGAGGCTAAAACATATAAGGAAAGGTTGCTGGAATTGGGCATGTCTAGTTTAATGAAGAGAAGGATGAGAGGTGACATGATAGCAGTGTTCCAATATCTCAGAGATTGCCACAAAGTCAAGCTATTTTTTTAAAGCACCTGAAGACGCAACAAGAAGCAATGGATGGAAACTAACCAAAGAGAGAAGCAACCTAGAACTAAGGAGAAATTTCCTGACAGTTAGAACAATTAATCAGTGGAACAACCTGCCTCCAGAATGCTCCAACACTGGAAGTTTTTAAAAAGAGAATGGACAGCCATTTGTCTGAAATGGTATAGGGTTTCCTGCCTGAGCAGGATGTTGGACTAGATGACCTCCAAGGTCCCTTCCAACTTTATTATTATTATTTTTATTGTTGTTGTTGTTATTATTATTATTATTATCTTATTGACATAGTATTGGATAAAATTCACCCATATGCTTTGAATGCAAAAGAGGTATTAAATAGACAGAAAATTTGGAATATAGTTACTTTGTGTTCTCCAATCTTATTTTTATTCATATAAACATTACAAAGAACAGGTCCTGCATAAAAATAATCATTGTTCATACCTTATATCATTTCTCATCCACAGTTTGCTTTCTCAGCTGCTTCACAGAAATAAAATACATTTGATAATATGTAGTATAAAAGAGCAAAACTGGGATCCCATTTCAAAAAATAGTTGAATAACTTTAATTCAAAAGTACATTTTATCTTGATAATGCAGTTTCTGCCCACCTTTTTAATTAATGGTCTCATTTATGAAAAGAAATATATTTCTATTTCTTTGCAAAGTAGTTTGCAACACGTAAAACATACAGACACTTCATAATTGATAGAGATGAGGAAAGCAAGACTACAAAATAAAATAAAAATGAATGCATGAAAAGACAAGAATTAGTCAGAAATAATGGCTGGGAAATGTCATTAGGCATTATAAATCTCTCTCCCCTCTCCCTTCTGCTACATTTAAAACCACAACTGTTTAGCTATTGGTGGAGGGACTTTGCAAGTCCACCCCATGTTGAGCAGGTATCAGTGGAAATTGTTTGATAAACAATTTCCTTCAACTTGGGTGAGCATCTCAAATCTTCCATCAATAAGAAAAGAAGTTTGGTCAGACTGCAGTTCTTAATTTTTTAAAACATCTCTATGAAACTTGGCTAATTTACTGTTGCCTGCCTTGAAGTTGTTCTACCAAGTGAGCAATCATGAACCACACTGGATCTCCTCAGTGCTTTGATTGGCTTACCTGCAGATGTCATTTTCTGGTTCCTCCAGTCCAAACTGATGATCGAAGACCAGCTGTATTCTAGCATTTCCTGGTGAACGTAGCTTCCATGTCAGCAAGAGATTCCTGGGATAATTGTGTGGGAAACGAGGGCTCTGGATGTAGCCATTTTCCCAAACGTGGATGGTTTCCTCTTTCTTATATAAGGCTGTGAGATGATTAGTCTCTGTTAATAATCACAAAGAGGAGTTATCAATATTCAAAACTTTAAACATTTAAAAATGATGATGATAGATAGATGATAGATAAATAAATAGATACAGAGATAGTGAGAGAGATAAAGATAGATGATAGATAAACAGATAGATGATAGATAGGTACAGAGATAGAGAGTGAGAGAGAGAGAGAGAGAAAGATAGATAGATAGATAGATAGATAGATAGATAGATAGATAGATACAGAGAGAGAGAGAGAGAGAGAGAGAGAGAGAAAGATAGATGATAGAGAGATAGATATAGAATATTTGTTGCAAACTATATCAATGAAATCAAACATACTATCTTTTGTGTGTGCATCTTTAAGTCAGTTTTGGATTCCTGGCAACAGCTTGGACTAATCCCTGCAGTTTTCTGGGCAAGGCCTTTCAGAGGTCTCCTTCTTGGGTCTGTGAGAGAGGGACTGGCCCAAGGTCCGTCAGGTGGCTTTGTGTGCCTTAACCACTACACCAAACTGGTTCTCCTATAGCAGTGGTTCTCAACCTGTGGGTTGGGACCCCATTTGGGGTCGAACGACCATTTCACGGGGGTCGCCAAACAAGGCTGTCTGCCATTTTTTCCCCCTTTTCTTCGGCCACGCCCCTGGCACCCGGTGATGTATAAGTGGTTGGAGGTCACCACAACATGGGGAACTGTATTATGGGGTCACGGCATTAGAAAGGTTGAGAACCACTGTCCTATAGTATTTTTTTTAGAAATCAGAAAGGATCTGCCTATTGCCTGTGTATATGTGTGAGATTCAGATATTCAAGTACTGTTAAAACTGTTAAAATTTTATTTTTATAATTTAATAATTATTTTACAGTGGATGAGGTACTATGAAGTGAAATAAAACCAGGAATTGTATAGATGTATGTTCTGGAATACATTTTCTACCAATCTTTAACTCTGGCAGTTGCCACTTTTCATCGATTCTGTTTGTATAACACACTTAGCTAGATCAATATTGGGGTAAACACCTTGGGCAGACACTATTGCTCAATCAGCAATGGGGCACCAGAAGGGTTATTTTTAATTGAAAACAGGATATTTACTTCTCTATGAGAAGACTAGATATGTAAAATGTGCCACATAATTGGGGTTGCATATTCCCATGAAATGGCTAAGTGGGCTTAACTCTATTCAAGACTGATTTTTTTCAGGCTAAATTCAACCATCTGGAAATTAAATTGTCAACTTACTCAAGTTCCCACAACATACTATTTCCCTTTTAACCCAGTAAAGCATATTGTGGGAACAGAGATATAAACCAGCTGAAAAGAATTTCCCATTTGTAGAACTCAGTGCCTTTTTTTCCCAGCATTTACCAAAAATATTTCTTACCATTTTCCCCCTGCTCTCATCAAAACCTCTAACTTCTCAACATTCCTGAAAAATGATTCAAGAAAATGTTGGAGTTGAGGTGGTAATTAAGGGAAAGGATGGAAGCACTTCAGCTCCCATATGCCTCCTCTTTCCATCCTTGCCCTTTCATTCTTAATATAAATATAAGCTGAAAAATGTCAGCCCTGATCCTTCAGAAAAAGGTTTCAAATTTTCTGGAAGTACCCAAGAAACCAAACTCTTGAGTCCTTAATTCCTCAGATGTTTGGCACTACTGATTTTGATCAAGTCAGACTATTTAATCCATCTAAGTTAAAGTTGCTGACACTAACCTATGGAGATATTCTAGAGACTTGAATTTTTTTCTATCTCCTGAATATATCCTTTTTAGTTGCCAATGCCAATGATAGACCCAGGAGCTTTCTATGTTCTACAACTTATCAATAATTTTTCTAACCCACCACCCTGGCAGTTTTATCCATGATAAGTTATGATTAGCTGAACATGTTTCCCAAGTGTTTACAACAGCACTCTTCTCTCCAATGACAGCTAAATGAATACCTTTGGGATGGTCAGAAAAAGATTGGGATACACATCATCTCCTGTCCTTTTCCTTCAGTATTGTTCTTGCATTTTTCCTAAAGACTTTTAAGATGTCATGGAACTTTTTGTTGTTGCTTCTAAAAGTTTTCCCATGTCATGAATCAGTGCCAGTTTGATTCAACTGACATCTGTCTGCTAAGCAATTTCCCACTATTGTTTGCACAGTGACAATAGTTGGAAATTTCCTCTGCCATCTCACAATCCACAAAAGAGATGGTCAATGAATGGATATTTCATGTCACAGAACTTCACAATTGGACACAATTCAGTGCACATCTGTATTCTAAATTATCTTCCTCCCAGGTATAACCACGAGGAAAGATCTTAATCCAATTACATTTTAGTGTCTTAAAACTGTTAACTTCAAATACTACCATTTCCCCCCAAAGTTCTGATTGACCTTATCAAGATTTTAATGCAGGATATATTTTACAAAATTATCATCTTCATCCTCATGTTGAATTATTATTGTACTTCAGGGATAAATTTTCTTTAAGATAAGAGAACAATCTTACTTTCTCAAAAAGTAAACTTAAAGTAAACATTTAATTGTATCAAAAAAGTATTTCAAACTTCAGTTTAAAATCTAAGAAATTTAAAATCCTAGAAATCTCTTTGTTATGAAGTAAACATATGCAAAAAAATATGCTCTCATTGTCAGCAAATGACCTAATTCACTCTCATACTGCTTCAAATGTAATGTCTAAATTTGTAATAATTATGAACTTCTACAATATTAGAATTTTAAGAGTGGGGGAGGGACATTTATTGTTCATGCCAAACTCCTTGCTCATTTCAAGAGACCAAATTAAAGAACTCAACATAGATGGCTGTCCAGATCACTCCCAAAAAGATAATTATACCTCCCAGTTATTAACATGACCAAATGGAGAAGGCAAACTTTGTCGTCTTGTCCCATGACACCCCACACAATTGGGCTCATTATTATATTTGTGATTGATAATCCAAAAATTAGATAAGGTTATACACATATGCAGAGTTTTTCATAAGACAGGATAAGTAAAAATGGTCTAAGAAACAAGTAGGATGTTACTTTAGATTTTAGAAGGTTAGATCAAATAGGAACCTTAGAGGAAAAATAGGCAGGAAAAAAAGTTTGAATGTACTAGTCATAAGAATTTACTGGCTAAATTTTAATTAAAGCCCTTGATTAACGGTCAACTATTATTATTGTTGTCAACATTCAATAGAGATTTCCTTTCATGTAATTAGAGGTCATTATTCCACATACCCTGGGAAGATCAGAAAATAAATCACGGGCCTTTAGTGAACTGGGGAAGTGCTATCATATTCATTTTCAGTCTTCTCTTGTTAACATTAAACTCAGTTTCCTTAATTGCTCCATGTTTTCAGTTCACTGATCAACCACAAAGCATTTCTTCTGATTTGCCTCATTCTTCTGATGCAGTGGTATCCAAATTTGGATTCAACACTTAAACTGGAGAAGTAGAGTGGACTGATTACTTTCTACAATTTGGAATCTGAAAGTTAATTTCTATTGAAACTGCCTAAACTGTACAAAACTGTTTATCAGCCATGTCACTCTTCTGATTCATACCTCACTTTTCTATCTCATGTTAATTTTACAGACTCCAACTGGCAAGCTGTCTCGGCTTTGTGAGCTGAAATGTTCCCTTCATCAACTGATTCTTCAGTGACATCTACACATGAGAATTAGCCTGCTGTGAAAAGACTTCCAGAGGCAGTGTGATTTTAATTGTCTCTCATAAAGCTTTGGAAAGAAAGACATGAGTTAATCCACTGATAAAGGAAGACATAGTAGCAGTGACTCATCACCAATGTTGCCTCTAATTTCTGAATGCCATGTGCAGGAAAAAAAATTGTTCAGCTTTTGCCAAACCAAGTACAAATTTGTTTACCCCTATATAACTATTCAAGTAAATTGCACACATGTATAGAAGTGACATATTATCATGTTTACTTGCTCCTTAGTTAAAGTATAGAAACTACATAGTATATTAGTAGGTCACACAGTTAAAATTTCTTCTTTGAAGATGCTATTGATATCTGGCAATTCTCTTGGCAGCATTTTTCACTGTCTTCTTCTTCCTAGGGCTGAGAGAAGTGACTTGTCCAAGGTCACGCAACTGGTGTCATGATCAAGGTGCTACTAAAAGTCACAGTCTCACAGTTTCTAGCCCTGGTACCTTAACCACTACAACAATGTGGCTCTGTATGTACATGCTCAGATATTATCACATAAACTCACAATGGCACAGTCACACACCCCTGTGTATTAATAATTCACTTGTGGAGGTGATTAGCAGCATCAGGTTTCTGGGTGTGCAGCTAACGAGTAGACTAGCTTGGTCGCTCAACAGTAACACACTAGTAAAGTGGGCACAGCAGCAGCTGTATTTTCTATGTCACATGAGAAATGTACATCTTCCTCTCCCTGTCCTTACCACTTTCTGCAGAGGGATGATCGAGAGCATCCTGTCATACAGCATCACAGTCTGGTTTGGAAGCATCACTGCTTCAGACAGGAGTGGTGAGGATGGCTGAAAATTTCATTGGCAATTCCCTTCCTTCCATCCAGAACATAGCATATAAGCGTTGCTTGAGCAGGGTCTGCAGGATTCCCCGGGGCACTACACATCCTCCTCATGACCTGTTTTCCTTGTTACCTTCTGGGTGGAGGCTCCATGGTATCCGAAGCAGAACATTCAGATTCAGTTTGGTTCCATACAGTATTAACCTTATCAATTCTAAAGCTTCCTCCTTCTGTTATGTATTCAAAATAACAGTGATTAATATGTATATGTATGCGTATGTGTTTGTGTGTGTACAGCATGTGTATATGTGTGTTATGTATGTACATGGGTAGATATATACTTTCTTTTGAGAGCAGGTAACAGACTTACATTTTTAATGAGGACCAGTGTGCCCACAGTAAAAAATGACAATAAATCTTATTATTAACATTAATACATTAAATCTTACCTTACCTTATCTTTCAATAATATAATCATACTGATAACTT